ATATCAATACTAAAACGTGAATTTCAGTTTATGATTAAACGATTGTTTTTTTTGGAATTTAAGCCTGTATCCTTAGATTAAAACAAAAAGGGTAGATACGGCACTAGCCTCACAAAAGTGATCCGCACCAATTGTGGTCCACGACCCTAATCGCTTTAGTCACAACTTGACATGCAAACGACGTACATGTAAACGCCAAAAAGAAATATTGCTAATATTTTGTGTTTATATGATAAAACAATGCCTAAGTGTGTTTTTAAAAAGTGCTCAAATTGCTAAAAATAAAACCCACGGCATCGCTTTTCATTCGTAAGTACTATAAAATATATTTTTTCATAAAAATTGCTGTTTGTTTTGAATCTTATTCGGTAGTGACGTCGAGTACTGGTCGCGTGATTGGTCGGTAGTGCAGTGACGCGGATCTCGCCGTCTCGTTCGCACTGCCGTTGAAACTTAACGTGCTGTTTCGCTCGGGTCGGTAATGCAGTGGCGCGGATCTCGGCGTCCCGTTCGCGCTGCCGTGGGATCAGTTTTTGTTTGATGCAAGTATGAGCGTACCGTATCTACCCTTTTTGTTTTAATCTAAGCCTGTATCCGGGGTTTGTAGTATATCCCTCTTTTTAATAGAAGAGGAAAAGAGGAAAAGTTCAGACTAGTTACGCCGTGTTTTGTTTATGTCATTCAAATGCCATTTCTCATGCAATGAACCGAGACAAAACATAGAGTAATTAATCCAAGCTTTATTCTTCGTTTATTATTAAGGGGGGTAGAAGCTTTGTCTGTATACGTTTCTTTACTCTTGTGGTATAAAGAACTTTGTTATAAACTAGTGGCCTGCCCTCGCTTCGCTTCGGTGTAGAGCTGTAGTGTAAACTATAGTTTTTGTTCTCAGGCTTGTGTTATAAAGAATAACTTTATTTATATAATTACACGTGTTATTGTGAGTCAACCATAAAAGATAGACATATGCTGTTGCAGAATATTTTTTAGACAATTTTATGTAGAATATTTCCGTCATACATGATTTCTATGTAACTTTAACCATTAAAGCTGCACACGCGACGGAAGCTTAAAAAATGGAGTAACTTCTCTCGTTTTTCCAATATTTGCCTTCACTACTCTGCTCCTATTGATTGTAGCGTGATGAAAAGTATACTATAACCTGCCCAGGAGTATGAAGAATAATTGTACTAAGTTTCGTTAAAATCTGTCTAGTAGTTTTTGAAGTTATACTTCTTTAGATGTGTGTGTAGATAGAAAATGATGAGAGTGAAATTTTAAGATGCGCGCGCATCACTGTAACACAAAATTTTAACAGCATGAAGTTGGTCGCTTTAGCGACCAACTTCATGCGTTACTTTTGTGTTTACCGCACATTAAGAAAATCTACCAACAAAATAGAATTAGAATCTCTATTTAGTGGGTGCTAACGACTGCATGGTGAAGGCCTATCAAAAGTATTTATTAATCTGGAACAACGGAACCAAAGCGCGATTCAGGAGACTACAGCGCCATCTCTTGACCATTGGTGTAGTAGAACCAAAAACCACATCTTTATTTTTTGTAATAAAGTAAGAGTTATAGGTATTCATATTTATAATATTTATCCACATGTTTCTAGTTTGTATATTCGGAATACGTGTTTGAGTTTCATACAAGTGCAAATCACATATGTTCTAATAAATTATATTCAGTAGCGATTTTAATTGAATATTTTGATTATTTATTTATTTTTTCAAATTAAAACTGAACTTTATTGACTGTGTCCTTTTCCAGACTTTTTATTAATTTATTGTAATTAATTATTTGCATGCAATTAAAAACTAATTTTAAACGATGCCAAAGAAGGATTACTTCTCACGCGCCTACATAAGTACACGCACCCACTTTTTTTGTTTCTATAAGGAACATACATACAGACAGACAGACAGACAAAAATTTTACTGATTGCATTTTTGGCATCAGTATCGATCACTAATCATCCCCTGATAGTTATTTTGAAAATATATTTCATGTACAGAATTGACCTCTCTACAGATTTATTATAAGTATAGATTAACTTACTTAGACAGGTGGCTAATAATGACAACAGGAGGCCTAATCTAATTCAACGAAAAACGAAATTTCGATAGAAAATTCGCACTTTTCTTACTATATTTCTGGTTTGTTTTTAATTATAATAATATTCGTCGTCGGAATATAGATTGAGGTGCAGATTTTCTAAGCCTACTCAAAGAATGCTTCAATTTGATAGTTTATCGTTCAAATTAAGCACATATAACCATAATATGAAAAAAATTTCGTTTGAACTTCGTTATTGAGAGTTCGTTTTCGAAGAGACAAGAGAGCGTAGACATCCTGGTGTTATCCGAAATTAGTTTTTTTGGAGTTTACTCCTTAAGAATCGATATGCATCTATAAGGGGCCCGGTATGAGAAAAATGTGAGGAGTAAAATCTATCGATGAATGACATTAATGACCTCATCTGCGCACCTTTCACTTTTAGCCATGGCAACGGATAAAAAACATTAAGTTGTCACAAATGTCAATAAAATAAATAAACTAAAAATAGATAAAATCGGAGCAAAATTAATGAGAACAAATAAATAACAGAATATAGAGAAATGTCGGTAAGTGTCCAGCACTCTGGAATAGTGATTTTCAGTACAGATAGAATTATAATACATATTTACAAAATGATGACTAGTTGATGGTGACGATATTTCCAGAAATACATAATAAAAAATATGATGAATATCGCTGATGTTAGATGATAAAATGTGTGACGTGGAACCTATGATAGTCGAAGCTATGGGACGATTCCTGAGGTATCTCTACTTGTAACCGACTTCTTCGGACTTGATTTTGTTTTGTGTCTGTTCAAAGACAATCGTTTTTCGTGTAAACTCTGGTCGTGCGTCGGAGCTGACACACACAATTTTTTTAATTATTGAGGTTCTTTTGTCAAACTTTCTACTTTAAACAAATGATGTATTATATTTTAATAATTCAATTGCTTACTAACAGCTATTATATAACGTTGACTGAAAATTGTGACACAAATAAACCAATGCATTAGTTACATTTAATAAATATAAGTAATTTTATTCTTTATCATAAATTTACTTCAATGGCAGTACCTATTAGTATGAGTTAATGAACTCGTATTTGAAAATATGCTAAAATAAATTGTAACGCAACTTTAACCTAGTTACGAGTGCAATTGAGTCTCGAATGCAACAAGTTATGCATATAGTATAGTTTGCGGTAACGTTGTGAAGTGAGCTGCGTGTTGCATAAGTTTACTCGTCAATGTTGACACGATGTCTAGCAGGTAACTTCTTTGTCGCAAAGTTAAATATAAGTAACAATTTTATGCAAATATTGCATTGCACACTGAATCTATCTATATATAATTATAAAACCCAAAGGTGACTGACTGACATTGTGATCTATCAACGCACAGCCCAAACCACTGGACGGATCGGGCTGAAATTTGGCATACAGGTAGATGTTATGACGTAGGCATCCGCTAAGAAAGGAGTTTGATCAATTCTACCCCCAAAGGGATAAAATAGGGAATGAAAGTTTGTATGAAACTTTATCAATTTTAAACCGATCGGGCTGAGACTTTGCATGCAGGTATAAGAAGAATCATAGATGAATGTCATTGTGTATAATACAAGCCTGAGAAAAAAAACTGTAGTCACTGTACACTTCAGCTCTACACCGAAGCGAAGCGAGGGCGGGCTCAGATAAGTTAATACTTCGTACTCAAAGAAATTTTGAGAGATAGCGGACTTTTCGGGCGCATTTATAGAAAACCACAGTAAAATAACTCTACCTTTTGGTAGTGTTGTTTCTGTCGGTGAGTAGGGTTCTAGGGCACCACGGGGTAGGGGAATGGGATAGGGTAGGTAACGGCTTGAGTGATATTCGCATGTTGGTCGCACGTTGGTCGCAAGTTGGTCGCACGTTGGTCGCAAGTTGATCGCAATTTAACCTATAGGCTATGGTGGTCGCTTACCATCAGGCTCGCCATAAGATGGTTTGCCACCATTTTAACATAAAAAGAACCTGTGCGGTCTGCGATTGCGGAAGTTCAGTAACTTACAAAAAGTCCAGTTCTGAGATGGGTGACAGTCAATTTTGTTTAAGAGATCCTTGTTGGAACATGCTGTGTGGCTAGTGATGGTACATCCCACTCATGAGCTATTCATAAGAAAAGTCCATATATGGTCCTTAAAGGTAATCAATTAATTAATCTTAGAACTTACATCTGTGTATGTTTTGCTTTGGGTTTGAAAAAAATAGATATGGATTCGTTCATAAACATGGGTTATAAATATATTGCCTAGACATAGATTCGTTTAAATTCATCTAATTTTATAGTTTTTGAGGATTTAGATATTGGAAGCAGTAAAAAGTACTATATAAGTAATATCAAACTATGCGCCTACTAAAATAACGTCACTCATATATTATGTATATCAGCTGTTAGTTTCGTATTGTGGTTTGAATAAGTACAATAATTTATGCGCGTTTTAAGATTGTACGACATGATTTTCGTTTGTGAATATTCAGATCTTCATTTTAATACTGAAAAAAATAATAGAATACTTACGTTTTCAGTTATTCTGAAATAAATAACATTCGATTTCATTTAACTAGAGTTATGTATTTTATTTAAGTTAATATCTGCAAAGTTTAAAGTCATATTATTTAAATTTCACTTGTTTAAAGAGCGATATGCGTTTTTAATAATAACAAGCTTAGTAGCATGGATTTATACGCCATTGGGATTCTGTCTTATTTTACACGGACGCAAGTCAAATTTAATATGAAAGATTGTATTTTGTTACTTTATAATTAAGTAACTTCAAAAATTTGGACTCCAACAAAATTTTATTTCATACCTACGCGATTACCACACACACTTGCAAATAACAACAAGAAATATACCACTCGCGAAATTTAACACACTGAAAGCTTTCCCTTACCAAGTGACAGACAGGTAGACGGTGACAATGAGTGTTTTCAGCCACTACACACAATCACACACTCGGCTTGCTCGGTGGCCGGCGCGGTACTGACAAGCAGATATTGTTTTAACACACAGTTGTCATGGACCACGCTAGATTTGCAATTCAAAGCTTTAAAGGTTACGGTGCACCGTCGAGCTAGATATGGTGAGATATAAATAAATAAAATATAAATATTTCCAACACTCACACCAATTAGCCTAGGCCCAAAGTAAGCACTGTAAGTGCTTGTGTTATGGGATGCTAGGGTAACGGATAGAATACATCTACTGTACATATATAAGTATATTTATATAGAAATACATATTAAACATCCATGACTGGAGTACAAATGCTCGTATTCATCACACAAATATCTGCCCCCACCGGGATTCGACCCCGGGACCTCTCGAGTCACACCATGAAACCCGGCGTATAAACCACTCGGCCACGGAGGTCGTCAAACCTGACATAATGACATGACCTGTGATAACGACAACCTGTGGCTAGAAAATGTGATCAATCTCAGAAGATCATCGGCCAGATCCATGTAGAGCTAGTGTCAATGAAATATCAAACTTTTTTAGTTACTTTATGGACAGAACAAGTAATGGTGGTCACTTACCGTCTTGCCTTTTTGAGTGTGTATGCTGTCGGTCGCAGATTACCTTTACAGCATCACTGGGTTTGGGGACGGCGAGGTCTTAAAGGGACCTCAAGCCGAGAATTGCTGGTATTCCAGGCGACAGTAATCTCCCCACGGGGGGGTCTCCTCTCCTTCTGAAGCCTCTAGACCACTCGAAACTGAGGGGCCGGCTCAACTAGAGGGCGTCCCTGAGACTCGGGCCTCGGCGCTTGATCAAGTAGCTAGATCAAGTCAAACTGATCATGAGTCCCCCGACATTTTGGAAAGACATGCCACTTGACGGAAGGATTTTGTCTTGATTAAACCACTCGATGAAGTGTCATGAAGGTCACCATTAATGTCATAATTAATGTCAGCTTAAGGGGGCACCATAAAGGAAGAGGAATAATGAGAAATTTAGATATTTTTGAAGTGAAACACTTTTTGGGACGCTGTAGGAAATTTAGCATGAAAGTAAACTCGTAGATCTGGAACTATAATTATCTGTAACCCGTTGTCCATGAATAAAGAGTAGCAACAAGTGCTCCTGTACCAAGGCAACCGAAATTTTATCACCATAAGTAGGGGCAAATAGCCGAACGGAATAGGGTATTTATTTATTTATTTATTCAATTTAAACATGCAGGCTTACAGAATAATCCAAAACGCCGGCAAGTCATACATACAAAATATTAACAATCATAGAAGGTATTCATTAAATAAATTTGACAGTATTACAAATAAAGTGCCAATTGTTAGCATCTGTACTTAGAATGAATATTGGCAGGGGTTTTTATTATTTTTACAAAAAAAATATTCATAATTATACTAAAAATCCACGAAAAAAATTAAATAGTTTTCTTATCTATTGACACGTGACCCAAAACGCTTAGGATTGGCGTAGCCTAAAATGACGTCACACGCAAGTAAACTTCCGGTTAAAGTGACATTGCATTGTATCGTTTGACGTTTTAATAACAGTCGTGTGACGTCACACACTAGTAAGACGCCATATTGTCCAGAGAAACGTTTTCACGGCAACTTGAAAATGGAGTTATGATTTGGTTTTTTTTACTGAAATACAAAACAGAATGAAGAATATCCACTTTTTACGGCTTCCATAAACATTAGTCAATAGCGTAAGATCGTTTTCTAAAACTTGTCAAATACCCTATCCTGAGGTTAAACATGTGATCATCGTGGTTTGATCTAAAGCTCATTTCAAAGGCGTCCATTTACTTAAGGAAATTGTAATCTAACAAAATAATCATAATCAAAATCATTATTCAGTTTAGGCTGTTACAAGCACTCATGAATGTTCAGAAGCTACGCCATCGGTTCGTAAATCTACGGCGGGAGACCTTGTACTGAGAAGAACCGGTAAGAAACTCAGCAAGGGCTGCTTTTTTATCCCTGTATTGTTATTTACAGAGTCGTCAAGTTGAAAAATGACTTCAGAGATGATTCATGAAGTCACCTTTCACTACATAATGATTAAATATACATTTATTGTTCACCAGCATTTTGATTGTTGTGAAATGAAATGAAACTTGTGATGAAGACCAAAGACGGCCACCGGAACTATTAAAAAAAAATGGGTGCGTGTACTTATGTAGGCGCGTGAGAAGTTATCCTTCTTTGGCATCGTTTAAAATTAGTTTTTAATTGCATGCAAATAATTAATTACAATAAATTAATAAAAAGTCTGGAAAAGGACACAGTCAATAAAGTTCAGTTTTAATTTGAAAAAATAAATAAATAATCAAAATATTCAATTAAAATCGCTACTGAATATAGTTTATTAGAACATATGTGATTTGCACTTGTATGAAACTCAAACACGTTTTCCGAATATACAAACTAGAAACATGTGGATAAATATTATAAATATGAATACCTATAACTGTTACTTTATTACAAAAAATAAAGATGTGGTTTTTAGTTCTTCTACACCAATGGTCAAGAGATGGCGCTGTAGTCTCCTGAATCGCGCTTTGGTTCCGTTGTTCCAGATTAATAAATACTTTTGATAGGCCTTCACAATGTAGTCGTTAGCACCCACTATTAAAATTTTGTGTTACAGTGATGCGCGCGCATCTTAAAATTTCACTCTCATCGTTTTTTCATAACGCGCCTAAAGAAGCATAACTTCAATAATATGTAGGTTTATCACAAGTAACGAGATTTCACCTTTGTCGTAATGCATACAATGTAGTTTTTTAAGTTAAAGTGTCGCCGCACACGGGCCACCGACCACAACCACAAAACGCCGCCACCGGCATATTTCTTGTAGTTTTCATACATTTTATATGGACTCGCCACACACTGTACGCCGGTGGCCGCCACACGCTACAAATCGTCGTTGCTCGCTTCTTGTGGCCCGCACCGGCCACTTAATGCGCTGATACAAAACGCCGCCACACGTCACTCGCGCGATTCTCCACCCCTCTCTCCCTTACCTTAGTTGGCCGCTGTCGCGCTCTTCAGCCACTTTAGTAGCTGCTTTTAGCTTCTCGTGGCGGCGTTTGTGGCTGTGGCGTGTGGCCCGTTGCGGCGTTTTACAGATTGTTGGGTTTGATTGCCAAATAAAAATCTTAATGTTAGTTCCGTTTTTCGCCACGCCCATTCTCTTTCCGCACAGACTCTACAAGCAGTTGTGAATGTCGAAGTGCTCCGCCATCGGTTCGCAAATCTACGGGGCGGGAGAAAAAAATGTACGATTAAAGTTAAACACAACGATTAATAGTACCCATCATCATCTCCGCTGGCAGCACCCGTTCACGAGCATGACGCATGAACCAGCCATCGCTTTGGTCAACCATTTTTTAGGGAACGTAACGCAACGAAACCGCCTAAGAGATTTAAGAGAACAGGACTGCCCATAACCACATATATATATTAGGTTGCAAAATAGAAATAAATAAATATATAAGTACTAGTGTACATTCTTTTAAACAAACTATAAACACAATTGTAGGACACATGCATGTGATTTGATTTCATCCTAGGACAAGCTTGGAATCTTAGGAATCCATCTAAGTAAACGGTGAAATACGTGCGTTTCATTCAAAAATCTAATTATTTATTTATTTTATTTTAATCTTTAATGCCTTTACATTGCATATAGCGGACTTAATGCTAGCATGGCATTCTCTACCAGTCAACCGGAAAGAACGTGCAGAGTCAATAAAACGGCAAACAATCATAGGAAAGAAGAAACATCAAACAATGAAAAAACAAAATTAAATAGCGTTTAATAGATACACATATACATACACACAAATATAAATATACATACATACACACACATATATACATAAATATATACATAATATACCTACTATAATATACCATATATATATAATATAGTGTCCGATTTTAGTATACTGATTCAACTTAAGCAGTATGCAATAGATTCAAATAATGTTCCCGCACCGAACTCTTAAACACCGTCCTGTTTGGAGCATTAGTACAGTCAATCTGTCGAAAAAAAAAATCGTTTCAGTGAAAAACAATCTAAAGGGTAAGTCTTGTTTTTTCTGTTGCCAAATGACGTCAGTAAGCCACCTTGGCGATGGGCATGTTCAACTCGTAGGCGTTTTTTGAAAAACTCAAAAAAACCCTCATAAAATTTTTGAAACGCATTTTTCTTGTTTTGTATGCATTTTAGAAACTTTTTTTTCGACCGTAATTGTAGAAGGCGTTGAGTACTACAATTTATGTCATTGTTGCAATCTCGTACAACAAAAAATGCGCATTGTAGGTGGCGCTAAAGTCTCAAAAAAAGTGTTTTATCACTTTTTCACCCTGAAAATATCAATTTAATGGAAAACTTTAAATGGAAAAGTTGTTCCGTAGATAATTACCAACAACTTTTGTCTAAACATTTTTTTAAAATTACTTACAGTTTTCAAGTTACAGTGCAATACAGCGCTACGTATACAACACAGTGAGTGCCAACACAAGGGGCCAATTCGGCCATCTGCTCTATTTACAAAGTACATTAATAAATTACTACAATCATGAAAAAAAAATAAAAAATAGTAAAACGTACATTGAAATTTGCACTGCAAATGTGTACTTGAACTGCCCAAAACCGCTCTTTTGGATTTTTCATACCTGCGCAATTTATAACTTGAAAACGGTAAGTAATGGCGGCTGATGTGAGCCCAAGTGTACGTTGTTGGGCAATTCACGTCTACCGTCAAGTGTCACTCTTACGTCCACGTCGTTCACCCCGGTAATACTTGGATCTGCTAACAGGCAACGTACACTAACACCTACCCTGGGATCCTCGTAGCTGAATTTAGTGATGCTATCCCACTGATGCACTCCAACATCAAGGGAGACATTTCCCGTGACCCGCACTCCCTTCTCTCCAACTCCAATTAATCGTTAACCCCTCCTTCATCCTGAATCCTGTCACTCCTTAAGGCCGACCCTAACAAAGGCCTTCGGCTCTACCGGGAAAATGGGAG